ATTTGATGTAGAAAAAAACAAAAATTTGGAGTCAAGCCCCATACCGGTTGCGTCACGACGTCTAGGTTCGAACCCGCGGGTTGCCAATAATTTTTGTTTTTTTTTTTCCGAAATACGTGCACCAAATTTCACGACAAATTGCGTATTTTTCAAATCGGTGCAGGCAAAAGATTCAAAAATCAAAAGATAAAAAAAGAGCTAACTTGTTTTTGTCTAACAAAAAAAGTTCTATCATTTTTATTTTGTTGAAAAGTGTCTTGAGTCACATGAGCTTCTTAAAGTTAGTCAAGGTCAACACACCAAATTTCGACAATTCTGGTTAAGAAAAAAAAATGGTAAGTGACCTAAAATTATATTTAAAAAAGGCTGCGCACCCTCGAGGGAGGGAGGAAAAGCCGCAATTTTGTATAGCCCCCTCCTCTCCTATTCGGTTTGTTGCACCCGTGGCTCAGTGGATAACACTGCCGCCCCACAATTTTTTAACGAGGGTTCGAACCCCGTCGAGGCTAAATCTTTTTTTTTCTTTTGTCTAAATACGCTAGCTACATCTTGGGGGTTAAGTTCACACACATTACACTAAGACATCTTCTCCACCTCTTCAAAACTTTCTCTCTTGTCGATCGTCATCCCCCCATCGCAGCCAGCTGATTTATTAGACCTACCCCTTCCTTTTGCCATCCATTTCTACCGTCGAAAAGATTGAGATCAATGTCTCCTTTTCTGCAAAGAAGCAGCAGATGAAAAGTGACTAGGGAAGGATAATCTGGTTCCCCCATTCTCTTTTTTCTCTAATGCCTCTTTATCTCTCGCCGTCTCCTCTGCCATTTTTCAATAATCATAATCTTCTCTCCTGGAATTTTTTTTTCATTTTTTCACAGAAAAATTTAGTTTCCCAAGGAAATCGCTTTTCCCATTTTTCTCTTGTTTATTTGTGTTGTCACCCCTCCTCTAAACCATTTTTCCTTTCTTTTCCACACTCCCTGTTCCCTATTATTATCCGTTTTCGACACAGTATTTTATTTGAAAAGGGAAGATGTGAATAGGGGAGGGGAGGAACACAATTTTTTTTCTCTTTTATGCTAAAAGTTTGACTTCGTTTTCACATTCTTGGCATATTCTTCTCCTTCATTTTCCTGAACGGTGCATGGGGAAGGTTACTGTAGACCTACATTGCGATAATTTTTTTTCAAAATCAAAATTGTGGGGTAATAAGTATACCAAAATGTAGAGCTCAATCAGCTCTACATTCTGAAAACTCGTCCAGAAAATAGACGGAAAAGCCTGCACGGCTGTCCAAACCTAGACGGTCTGATCCCGTTTCCTAGAGCTATTCCAAAAAAAATTCCAAAAAAAAAAGAAATTTTTCTTGGAATTTTTTTGAACCGGAAAAACCCGACAAAACGTTTTTATTTTTGATTTTCATTTTTAGTCATTTGATTTTCAGAGAAAAAACTGGAAAAAAAATTTTTTCAAAGATTTTTTTCCGGCAAAAATTTTTTTTTCCATTTTTTAAAACTTTTTTCTCCAATTTTTTTTGACGAAACTTTCGACTTTTCCGAAAAAAAAACAGATGAAAATCCGGAGAAACCATTAAAAACATATTTTTTGAATAATTTTTCAAACTATTGTCCACGCAGACTACACGAGCGGGCCATTTCCTAGGCCATCATTTTCGGCCCTCATTTCGACTGTTTTCTTCATTTTTCCTCCTATTTTTCGGTGAAAAATAAACTCTCGCAGAAAAAAATTTTTCGAAAAAAAATTGTCGAAAATTTTTCCCTGAAAATAACCGAAAAGCCTGGAAAAAAACTTCCGAACAAAAAAAGTTTTTTTTGGGCGACGGACATTTTTTTCCAAGTTTTCAGACTTGTAGAGCTCACCGAGATCTACATTTTGGTATGTTTTTTGGCCTCAAAATTTTGATTTTGAAGAAAGTTAGGAACCAAGTCCTACTCTCTCTCTCTCTCTCTCTCTCTCTCTCTCTCTCTCTCTCTCTCTCTCTCTCTCTCTCTCTCTCTCTCTCTCTCTCTCTCTCTCTCTCTCTGTCTATCTCCGTCTCTCTGCCTAGACTCTCTAGCTATCTGCGTCTCACAGAACTTCAACTCGGAGACGCAGACAACTAGACCATCTCCTTGTCTGCGTCTATCTCTCTCTTTCTCTCTCTCTCTCTTCCACCAATACTAATCCAATTCCTCATCTATTCTATAGAATGACAATCTCGATAGCGCCAACAACCCTATCCTCAATTCGTCTATCAGCTGATAAACGTGACTCCTCCACCTCAAATCTTCCGGCTAACATTGAAGAAGAAGACGACACCCAATCAGTTAGCTCATCGGATTCCGGTGTCTCTGCCGACTCTGATCATGGACATGGTCATAGTCATGGGGGTCATCATGGCCACAGTCATGGTGGTCATGGACACTCACATTCTGATGATGGATCATCGTCGGATGATTGTAGTGTTGGAGGGCATAAGCATAGTCATGGGGAGAAAAATATGAAGGTACAAGACGGGGAGAAATTCAGGGGATTAGAAAAAAATTCCGGAATTCCAGGAAATACCTGGGACCCCGAAGAAAAATCCTCGGGACTCACAATTTGTACAGGGGAGTCTAAGAAATACCCGGTACTCAAAAAAATATTTCCGGGATTTTTCGGGACTCAAAAAATTTTTTTCGGGGCTCTGAGAATATTTTCTGATACTTGTAGATGATTTTCCGGAAACCCCGAAATTTCCGGGAGCCGAAAGAATCCCGGGAATTAAAAAAAAACTCCGGAATTTTTCCCGAATTTTCCGGGATTTTCCGGAATTCTGGAAAAAAATTCTGAACTCGAAAAACTAATTCCGAGATTTTTGGAGACCTGTGATAATCCCCGAACTTCCCGAGATTTTCCGGATACCAAAATGAAATTGCTGGAGTTGAATAAATATTTTCCGGAACTCAGAAAAAAAATTCGGAACTCGAAGAAATGTTTCGGAGTTTTTCCAGAATTTTCCGGGACTCAAAGAAAACTATTCCGTGACTCGAAAAAAAATTTCCGGGACTCGAATAATATTTTCCCGGGATTTGAAAAAAAATTCCGGGATTCATCCGGCTCGATTTCCGTCAAAAGATTTTTCGAATCCTGGAAAATATTTTTTGGATCCCGGAAGATGTTTTTTGGGGTCCGGGAATTTCTGAAAAAATCGAGAAAAATTTCAGTTCCAGACACCTTTTTTTATCACGGGTGTTTTCGGAGTCCCGGGTTTTTCCTAGAGTCCCGGAAAAACTCAAAAAATACCCGGGAAACAAATGGAAGCTAAAACTTCTTCAATTCAAACTACCTCCCTCTCAACATCTTCCTTTTCCAGGGTCGCCGTGCCGAAAAAGTGCTCTGGGCCGTGGCGGCTCTCTCCGCCGTCTTCATCGCCGCCGAATTCGTTGGTGGATTCTGGGCCGAATCCCTCGCAATCATGACAGACGCCGGTCATATGCTCAGTGACCTCCTCTCTTTCGTCATCTCCATCTTCGCCATCCGATGTGCCCGTCTACCCCCATCCAAGAAACTCTCATTCGGATACGAGCGTGCCGAGGTGCTAGGAGCTCTAACCTCTGTAATTATTTTATGGGTACTGACGACAGTACTTGTGTTTCTGGCGATTCAAAGAATAGTGAATAATGAGCACGATGTGGATGCGAATATCATGTTGATCACTGCTGGAGTCGGTGTCCTTTTCAATATTATCATGGGATTAGTATTGCACTTTGGAGCCGGTGGTCATGGACACTCTCACGGGGGACACTCCAGTCACGGACACGCCCATGATGGGAAGAATGTTAATGTGAGAGCTGCTCTTATCCATGTCATTGGAGATTTAGTTCAATCGATTGGAGTGCTCATCGCCGCCGTGATCATCAAATTCACCGGATGGACGTTGGCTGATCCGATTTGCACATTCCTTTTCTCCATTATCGTCTTGTTCACAACGATTACTGTCATGAGGGATATCTTCTTTGTGTTGATGGAAGCCACCCCACCACACTTTGATTTGAGTGATATTAAGAAGGCGTTGAGTGCGTTGGAAGGTGTGAAGGGAGTACACGACCTGCATTTGTGGAGTATTGGAATGGATAAGGCCGCGTTTTCCGTGCATTTGGCGTTGGGTTAGTTTTTTTTTTTTGAAATGTTGCTGATATCGATTTTTCAGTTACTAAACGATTTTTTGTCGCAAAAACTCTCTAAAAATCCAGTAAAATTGCCGATCGTAGTGAGAACTTTCGAATAAAAATTGCGTGCGCCTTTAACGGAAAGCAAGCGCGCTCTACTGCAAATATTCAGATTTTCGGAGGCGATCTGAAATTGAAAATTGATTTTTCGAAAAAAAAACTTTTAAAAGTTTTTTTTCAATAAAACACTCTTGCATTCATCGAAAAAATTACGAAAATCAATAAAAATATTATATTAAGCTACGTATCGCTTCATCGTATGCGGCGCAGCGAAATTTGAACAGCCGCGCAATTCGAGTGGAGCGCGCTTGCTTCATCTGCTCCGCGACGTCTGAAATTTCAGTTTTGCCCAATATAAGTCTCAATTTTTCTTCCAGAATCCCCAGACCGTGCCATGGAGACAGTCGCCGCCGCCCGATCACTCGTCCGACGGCAATTCGGTGTGGCCGTGGCCACCGTTCAAGTGGAGCCGTTCGACGAGAAAATCGATTCGTGTGACACGTGTATACAACAGGAATCCGCTTAAATTTCTCTTCTAAATAATAATACGTTCCTCCAAAAAACGGGCCCTTCTCTTTTCCTTTTTTTTCCCTTCCCATTTTCAGTCAAAAAATGTGATATTTTTTCATGACGGGTACGATAATACTACTAATTATTTTTTTCCATTTATCGATTTTTTTTGTCGGTGATAATTGATAAATAAATAAACGGCTTTATTTTCTTTTTTGGAGACACAATAAGCAAAAATCTACACGTATGTCAACGCCCTCCGCCTCTTGTGTTTTTGTTGCCTTGGTGGCGCAGCAGGTAGCGCTGCTGCTTCTGAATTTTTCAACGCGGGTTCGACCCCCGCCGGGGTCAAAAATTTTTTTTTCTTTTTCAAAATTTTTTTCAAAGCACCGTGAACTCACAAAATGCTTTATAATTCTATTTCCTCTTCTCCGAGTAATTATTTCCAAAAATCTCTCCAAAAAAATGTTGATTTCCGTTATACTTTTCACTATCATCTCCTCTATTAAAACGCGTAAGCCAACATCCCAACGAAATAGAAACCCTCCAAAAAAGAAAAAAAATTCAGAAAAAGAAGAACCTTGTCAGACAACATTTTGCACTGAAAACAAGGATTGTCAACACTATGGATACTGTAATCGCACCAAAAACGTTTGCTGTCTAGGTTTGTCAATGGAGCACAGTTTCCTCAAATCTCAAAAAATTTCAGGAGCCTACGGCACCTGCACCAACCCTGGAAGTCGTCCGGTTCGACCACAAATCGAGTGTGAAACTGACAATGATTGTGGCTACACTTACTGCGATCAGCAGCTTAAAGTCTGTTGTTCAGGTTTGTCCGGATGTCCAAATTCCGGGAAACCAATGAAAATTTTACAGAAGGAGAGTCACCAGATAGCTACTGTAACGGTGGTTTGACCTACTACGGTATTGAGCCGAAATGTGTGGAGGGGAGTTGTCAGGAGGACGCGGAGTGCTTCAATGGGCATTGTTGCCCGCTACGTGAGTTTTTTCCTTGAGGTTTTCCGGGACTTTTTTCCGAGTCTTTTCTACAGTGTTTTTTTTCCCAGTGTTTTTTTCCGGGGCTTTTTTTCGTGGTTTTTTCCTGGGGAGTTCTTTCCGGAGTTTTTTCCGGCGTTTTTCCCAAAAACCTGTCCCTCATCTAGGACGCTCCAGGGACAATTCTGAACTCAATTTCTTCAATAAAACAAAAAAACAAAAAAAAATGAGCCCGTGTGGAGTCGAACCCTTGACCTTCAGATTGGAAGAACTGCCAAAACTCCACTGAGCCATTTTGCTCAAAATCGCTCGTCTCAAAAGGGAAGTGAGGCTGAACAGACGGTCAAAATGGTCCGACGTCCAAGTTCCTAGCACATTTTAAACCGAGTTATGCCATGCTGAGAGACGCAGACGGCTAAACAGTCGGGCTTCTCTGCGTCACTCACTCTCTCACCTGCTACTCAACTCAAAAAGGTCTAGCTTCTCTACTTCTCCCTATCCCTCGTAATATTTTTTTTTTCTGACAAAGTTCTCGAACGCACCGTAGGAACTGCGTGCTCTACCGTACTCTCTGAACGTGCGTTGCCGAAACAACGAGACTCCGCCATTCCGCAACACATTCTGTCGACGGAACACTGAGCGATTGGCGATTCTTGGAGAAAGTCGTGTAAATGGGACAAAGAATGTGGAAACTGAGAGGTTCTGTGTGTCAAACTTGTGAGTCTTCTACAGTATCCACCCTAAACTTTTCGCTGCGGGACCCTTGTTAGAGTGTCTTGCGAAAAAATCAAATTTTTTGGAGTTTTCAGTTGTAAAACTTTGCCGAAAATGAAGATTTTATGCATATTCTTCTGTTTATCGTCGAAAAAAAATCATCTGAATTTTAAGTTGCCTCCGGAGATCGCGATGTTCGCAGCAGAGCGTGTTTTCTTAGAATGTTCACTCTGTGCGCTAGAGATCAAACTGGCGACACTCTTCAAAAAATTCAAATTTCAGAGATTGCCCCATGGACTCTGTGTGCGTCTTCAGCACGACTATCGGAAGATGTCTTCTGGATCCATTTCAGGAACCAAGATCCGAATTTGACTTCCTCATGGATCCCATCTTCATTGCTCTCTACTCGGTTGTTGCAGTGTCTTTTCTGTCGATTCTGATCATGAAGGCGATTCATAAGGTCAAGAAGAATGATTATTATGATGGAACTTTCAGTACTGATCATAATTTTGACTGTAAATTTAGATATAATTAATAGACATCACATAAAAATGCATTATTTATTAAATTTTCTTGAAGGATGACGGTTACAAAAACTATAGTCCTGTGATCAATTTCAATTTCGGAAAATCCTTAGAAAATCCGCGAAACCCATTCGGAAATTTCTGTGAAAACCACCGGGAAATTCCGGGAAAAGAGGAAATCCCCGGCAGCTCATCGGGAAACATATGGAAAACTTCCACGAACCTCACATTGGAAGTAATAAAAAATTCGGCGCATCAATAGACAAATCAGCCTACACCAATACATATTTTCATGGGATGGGTGGAGAATAACCAATATTTTTGTAATCCAGTTCACAGTTTTAAAACCGGCTAGAAAAGTCAGGATCGGCACTCTCATTTCTCCGGAGTTTCGCAAGGATTGGGTCCCAATTCCAGTTTCGGGGGACTGGAATGCGGCAGAGTTGGAAGAGTGTTGAAGGGCCCGGAACACAGTATCATTGCATTCTCCAAATTCGGGAAAAATTAGGGTTCTGTGGAAAACGGAAAGACTGTCTGATTCCTGGATAAGGATCCGGGATCAGGGTGGAAAGGAACCAAGGTGTGAG